TATATATATATATATAGAGAGAGAGAGAGAGAGAGAGAGAGAGAGACATATAGCTCAAAGATATATGAAAAGGCTGACAAGCTAACAAGGAAGCCTCTAATTTTATAATTATTCATTTAACTCCATTCACTCAAATATCCTTATTACAATATCCTGGATTCCACTCTTCCCATTTAACACCCTAAATTCCACAGATCATTCTTAGTAAAGTAGTGAATTCAACTTACATTTTAATTATTTCACCAAAGGAACTCTTTGTTTCTGGTTTACAGATGTATCGGCATTGTTTCATAAAATATAAAAGATTTTTTCAGAGCAATATTGTATGCTTGTTATTTCTCTAATGGAGATTGAATCAGGATTTTAAGCTTTGAATTTGTTATTTTATATCTTTACCATCCCAGTGGAATTAAAGATAGCCATTCAGTCTACTATCGTTTAACCACATTTCACCATCTTGGTCTCCCAAACCTTGTGCTTAATAGTTATACCATTCTAAACAATTGTATGTTATAAGCTATTGCGTATCCATGATATCATTTATTACTAACATCACATATACGCATTGATCATAAAACTAATGTCAGACTTTCACCATTAAAGATATATTTCATGAAAACATTTCTAGTAGTAAATATAATACCAGTCTGTATTCAGTTAGTAAGACAAAAGTTGTTTGAAGAATTCTAGCAAGTGATTTACCAGAGTGAATGAGAAACTGAGTTGGCCATTTTGCTTAGAAATTCCCAGGTCAGGGTTGGAAATCTCCAGGCAAAATTGCATCATACTGCTAAATAATTTGAAGTATAGGCGCTAGGAGACTGAGTGACTCTTATGGCTATCTTTAATATCATAGCCTTGAAATGTCTCATAGTAAATTACAGTGAATCTGATGCCAAAGTATTTTGACTAAAAATAATCTTTTCAAAAATGGTGTCAAGGCAACACTTAAAGAAGTTCCCTTTTATGTCACCATACTCTTGGGAATAATACCAAATGGACCATACACCAAAACATAAAAGGTAATGCAAAACTATTTCTCTAAAAATACATAAGGGAAAAGGTTTATAACTTTGATATAGGCAAAACTGGCTTAGATAAAACAACAAGCATAAAAATAATCAAAATAATATTTTGTACTTAATTAAAATAAAGCCCTGGTCTTTATAGGATGTGATGAATAAAATGTTATTAATAAATAAAATGCTATTAATAAAATACTATTATAAAATTCAAATTATATTCAGATATCTTGTGATATACATATATCATACATATCTATAATATATGAAAATAACAATAAAGATAGTCGTAGCGTTTGAAAATATATTAATATTTAAAAAGATCATAAAGAGATGCTCTACGTTAATCACTAGGGAAATGATAATTTAATCCCCAAGAAATAAGATTATTCTCAGCAAACTGACAGAAGAGCAGAAGATCAAACACCGCATGTTCTCACTCATAGGCGGGTGTTGAACAATGCATGGACACAGGGAGGGGAGCACTACACACTGGGGTCAGTTGGGGGGAAATAGGGGAGGGACGGTGAGGGGTGGGGAGCTGGGGAGAGATAGCAAGGGGAGAGATGCCAGATGTAGGTGATGGGGAGGAAGGCAACAAATCACACTGCCACGTGTGTACCTATGCAACAATTTTGCATGTTCTTCACATGTACCCCCAAACCTAAAATGCAATAAAATAAATGGGGAGAAAAAAAAAGATTATTAACATAAAATAAAATGTAAAAAGTTGTCAATATTAAATTTAGGCAAGAGTGTTGAGCAGCTAGAGTTTTTATCCAGTGCTAGTGGAAATATAAAATTGTATAATCATGTTGATTCAACATTTACTAGTTTCCTTTAAGTGTAATATATATTTATTATGGGATTCAGCAATTTTACTCCTGTGTATATGCCCAAGAGAAAAGAAATAGTATATTTACAAAAGGGCTTGCTTACAAATGTTTGAAGTGACTTTATTCTTAATAGATCTGAACTGGAAATATCTAATTATCTTTCAGAAACAAAATGGGTAAACAAATCATTGTACATTTGTACAAAGAAATATTACTCAGCAATAAAAAGAATAAAGTAATAATGCAGACAAGAATTTGCTTACGAGAAGTGAGACCCAAATAGATTATAATCATATTTGTGTGAAATTTGATGTAAGGCAAAACTAATCCACGTCAATAGAAATTAAAACACTGGTTTTCTATATGGTGGAGATTAAGGGAATTTACATATGGAGGCTTATTCTGAGGTAATGGCTATATTCTATTTCTTCCTTGGTGGGATGGTTACTTCTGGTAATAATTATCAAAACCTTATTAAACTGTACACAAAATGAGTGCATTTTATTTTATGTAGATAATCCCTCAAGTTGATTTCAATAGCAAAAAATAACACTTCCGTGTAAATAAATAATTGTACAGTAATTACAAGACCTATGCTGGAGGATTGTGAATTCTGTGAACTGTATTAACACTAAAACTCAATGATAATATTAGCATGATTAGCATTTTGCCAATCAATTTCAAAAAAGTAGTTAAAATATAGCGTATTTAAAAACAATTTACATATATACCTCAAATATCTTTTAGGTTGAAATATATAAAGAATCTTTCATTAGCCAGTCTTTTTTATCAAAGGCAAGTTTTTTTTTTTTTTTTTAATTTCCACTGCATGTGGTTCTGCTAATTTGAGTTTTGCATCACTCTTCTCACATGATATAAATTTTAATGTGTCATAATTAGTTTGAATTTTTTCAAGTGGTAGTAAGAACTTAAAGATATTAAAAAATGAGGATACTTTTTTTTCAGATGTTTGCAATATTTCCCTTTAGTAATTTACATTTATTTCACTAATATATAATTTATAAACTTTTTAAAATGCTCTTTAATTTTAACTTAGTTCATATATAAACTCAGAAATGAACATTCTCTCCATTAATTCTATAGTGTGAATTATGTTTTATTAATTGCTTCATTATAATAACAAGAACAATTTACATTAACTGGTTTAGAAATGGATAGAGATACATAAACAAGCCGAAGCCACAGCTTTTGAACATTTTGGTCTCAAGACCTGTTACAGTCCAGAGTCTTTCTGAAGATCCCAAACATCTTTTTTGGATTTGTTTGTGTCTACCAGTTATCCTTATTAGAAATTAAAACTAAAACACTTAAGGTACTTATTTATTTAAGTAATAAGAAATCCATTAATGGTTAACATAAGTAACATCACATAAAAGAGCTATATTTTTCAAAATAATTAGTGAGAAAAACTTTTTTGGCAAATCTCTTTAACAATGTGTTTGTTAGAACAGAAGACTGGATATTCATATTTGCTGACACATGAAATTTGTTGTGATGTGCTACTTAGTTAAGACATGTTTTTAAAAATGTCACATACATATATCTATATAGTTGGAAATGGGAATAGTATTTTTAATTCCCGTTCATAGAACGCTGGATATTTATTTATGACACTATAAAAAAGCACACTAAGGCGTAGTTTAGTAAAGGTTAGTTTCAACGTGCAATCTGAGCCCATATTAGTGAAATTTTCTCACTTTTCTTACCTCGTAAAATTCATTCATTGGCCAGTCTTGCAATTTGGATAGATATTTTAGTCATGAATGAATTTGGACTAATATGAATTCATAAACTGAAAAATATTGGGAAGATACAGGTCTAGTTTCATTTCACTGCATATAGTTACCCAGTTTTCCCAACACTATTCATTGAAGTGAATGTCCTTTCCCCGTTATATGTTTCTGGTGCCTTTGTTGAAAATGTGTTGGTTGTAAATTAGTGGATTTATATCTGGGTTCTCTATTCTGTTGCATTGCTGTATGTGTCTGTTATTATGCCAGTACCATACTGATTTGGTTACTACAACTTTGTAGCAAATTCTGAAATCAGGTAGTAGTGTGATGCCTCCTGCTTTGTTCTTTTGCTCAGGATTGCTTTGGCTATTCAGGATCTTTTGTGGTCCCCATATACATTTCAGGATTTGTTTCTATTTCTATGAAGAATGTGATTATTATTTTGATAGAGTTTGCATCAAATCTGTAAACTGCTATGGTTAGTATAGACATTTTAGTAATATTAATTCTTCCAACTTCATGAGCATGGAATATTCTTCCAATTTTTTTGGGTTCTCTTCAATTTCATTCATCAGTGTTTTATAGTTTTCCTTAAATAGACCTTTCACATCTTCGGTAAAATTGATTTCTAGGTATTTTGTATTCTTTGTAGCAATTGTAAGATTGCTTTCTTCATTTCTTTTCCAGATTGTTTACTTCTGGCATATATAAATGCTATTTATTTTTCTATGTTGATTTTGTATCCTGAAACTTCATTGAATTTATCAGGTCTAAGAGTTTTTGGGTAGAGTTCATTAGGTTTTCCTTCCTTTTTTTTTGCATTTTTTAAAATTATAATTTAAGTTTTGGGGTACATGTGGAGATCATGCAGGCTTATTACATAGGTATACATGGGCCATGTGATTTGCTGCATCCATCACCCCGTCATCTACCTTAGGTATTTCTCCTAATACCATCCCTCCCCAATTCTCCCACCTCCTGCTATATCTGAGTCTTCGGTTCAAACAAACAAGTAACTGTATTTTAACTGAAGAAGATCACTGTTAATCCTAATCAATAAAATAACTAATAGACAATTTCCTTTTTAAAGATACTAGCTCAAGTTCAGTCTTTAAATTGCATTTTTTTCTGATAATAGGTAAAGACCAAAGAAGAAAACTTTTAAAAAAATATTTTTCTTTACTTTTAAATTTAAAATAACCAATTCTGTTATTTAAAGTATTTTTAATGTTTTTTTCTCCAATGTAATACATTACTTCATTAATTTCGTTGTTTAGTATTCTAAACCAATATTCTATTATTAGGTTTGTTTGTTTGCTATGGCTCCTGCTCTAGGTAGAAAATTAGTTTTTGAGCAAATTCAATATATGTGGAAAAAAATTAAATGTCCTGAATAACCATTGTATTGTTCTTGCAGAATTTTATTTTTCTATGGGTAAACTTTTAAAGTTTTCAATGTCTTAAGCTTATTGAGTTGAATTACAGCCCCTTCTTCTCGAAAGTGTTAGTTCATAGAGATAGAAGTGTTCCTTAATTAGTTAGAATGTTGGCTTTTTGTTATGTCTGATGGTATATTCTGTGATACCAGTAGAGGATGGGAAGCTGAAAGTTTGGTTCTTAAAGAGAAGCACCTTTGCCTTAATCTTCAGAATGCCTAAACTATTGCCACTCCCTAAATCAATCAACTAATTAATCAATCCTCTGACCAAAATGGCCAATCTGCTTATCTGAACTTCTCACATTGTAGTTGTTATCTTGGCAATACACAGCAGCAGCCCCCATACTTTGTATATGGAGCCACCTTTGAATGAAAATGTATTCAGCATCCTGGTAATCCTGTGAAACTTTTCTCTTAAAGTCAAATAACTCCCCACAACTTTAGTGTCAGCAAATTGTTCTTTACTACTCTAAAAATTGAATAATTTGTATTCAATTGTATAAATGAAACTAGATAGCTTAAAAGTGTTTTCAGTTGGTAGTCTTGGTTATCTGAAGGGCCATTCTTAACACTATTCAAGTCTGTCTTGGCCTTTTCTTACCTTTGTCTTTTAGAGTTTTACATAACAATCTGTTTTTTGTTAGAGGGGGTGAGAGTTGTTTATTCTTGAGGACAAGAGAGTTTTTTCACCTTCCTCTATTCATCTTTCAGTTAAATAATACGTTTATACTCTTCCTTGAGGCATTGAAAACCACACCCTGCAGGCAGATGGGATAAAGCCAAGATTTCACCATGGATCCAATGGAAAATACTGTTCTTCAAGTGAGAGAAACCAAGTCACAAAACAGCAGCCACAAATTCCACAAGGTAAGTGGTAATTGACTTGATAATACACTGTGTGCATTGATAATGTACAGTAGCCATTGAAGATACAATGACCAGTTCCGAAATAAAAAGGTACAATCTGCAGAAACTTGTCTGCTGTCTATTGCAATGCTTTTTATCTATAATAACATCTTCATCAAAATTCAATGATAATTCTTAACATTTTACCAGGAAATTACATTAACGAACAGGTGAATTTTTCAATAAGTCAGAAAATGTAATCCTGCCATCAGTTTCTTTTTACTTCCCTTGGATTTATACCACTTTGTTCTTGTTGAGGTTACAATTTTTTGTTTATTTAAAAAATTGTTTCATTCATTTATTTGTTACCTTAAAAATTTCTCAGACACTAAAACCTTTGGCTATAAAAACAAGTAAAATGAGGTACCTGGCTCCAAAGAGCTTAAATTTAATCAGACAATCCATTGACAGGGTTAGTGCTATGTAAACATGCAATTGAGATAAATAACATCTTATTAATGATTTTAGTCAAGATATGACTCTTAGTACATCATGTCTATAAGTTTATCTAATCAGCTTAGGTAGGATGAAAAAGGAAATAAGATTTCAAAGGTATCTTATTTCCTTTAATATATCTATAGTGGTAAATTTTGCTCCCTGAAAGTGTCCTTAATTTTTACATCCTTCTGAAATGTCACCTTTTATTAAGTCACTCTGCCATCCTAACTCTACCTGCACCACCTGAAAAAAAAAACAAAACAAGGTACAGATTATGGAATAATCTTCTTGACAGTTCCATACGTTTCTAATGAATGGATGTTTCTGAGGCCCCATTGTTTGCCATCTCCACAGACAGGATTCAATTAGTGAAATGGCTAATTAGGTTTCTATAATCCTGTTGTCATTGTGTTTGAGGTGACATTTTGTCAGCATTTCTTTTGTGGCTTCTTCAGTGTGATGGGAAATAATCTTCCTTAGCCAACTGGGCTTTTGCTATTTTGCTGGAAAGGCAGTTCCCTCTATTGGTGTAATGAAGTCATTGCCCTCCCAAATATAGCTCTGCCACTCAGCATTTAAATAGCAAAGAATAGGAAAATAATAATCTGATTAGACAAACAGGCCCCTGTTCAAAATCCATTTCCAAAATCAAATAATAGAATTGGATTGAGTTCAGAGTGGAAGAATGACTTAGGTATTATTACATACTATAGTGCATATTCTTTGACCAGCAGAATGTGGAAGGATTTAAAGTCATATTCTTTTTATGCTTCACAAGAGTGAAATTCTTTTAAAAATATGTGAGGGATCATATTTCAGGCAGCACTCTTAGACACTAACAACTATATTAGAGCGAAAAAGTGAAAGATCAAGACCAAAGTCACCCTTCAGTTATATACAATTTATATTACTATATAAATATGTCAATTTTAATGTAATTTAATATAAGCTATGTATATATGAGTCTATTATGTAATTTACATATATAAGCAATATATATACATCATTTTTGTAAGTTGTATATATATAAATTATTTAAAACATCAAGATAGTAAGCAGTATTACAATTTAGAATTTGATAATTGTTGAGTATATAATTTTATGTGTTTGAAATTTAATAAACATAATTTTATTGATATAAGTTCTTATTTCTATTTTAAGTCACTTTTCTAGCAGAATGACAGAAATTTGGTGTTATTTTGAAAGTCATTCCCACAATTTTCCATCAGATTATGTCTAAGTTTTTAATTCTTTTTAACTTTACTTGGGAATACAGGTTGGTTGTATTTATCAAAGCCAATGATCCACTCAGGCTTTCAACAAGATGCCTTGAACCCATCTGTACCTCATTCCTAAATTCACACAGGCCATACTTTAAATGTTCCCTGAGGTTCAGAAATGTTCTCTGTTGTTTCTGTGCTATTCAGAAGCATAGGAGCCATCTATTCTCTTTCGACTGGGCATAGAAAATGTTTTTGAATCTAAGCAACTTATCTAATAAGATATACCATGTAGTGATTTTTCCATTCCAGATGTCTCAATTTATCATATAGCATTATCCTAAATTGGATATAAAACTTCCCTCTCATCTTGAATCCCATAAACATATATGGGGTTATGCCAGCTCTCCAGTGTTCTACCTCTTTTCTACACTACAATCACCTTTGTTTCCACACTCATCACTTCCATTTAGACCATATTTCCATCTGTGCCTATTCTCCACAAAACATTTATTTTCAAATTACAGATAGAAATCAAGAATAATAAGCCTTGATATTCCTCATGAAATCTTCAAAGTTATTTGTCTTCTGTAATGCTTTTGGTATTTTCAAGGGCCTAGGCTTTTAGGGTTAAAAAAAGAAAGGTAAAAACAAAGTATTTTGCTCTTATATTCTGCTATGCCACATACAATCTGTGATGTAGTAAGTGAAGGATGACAAAAGCTATGGAAAGGAGAGAAGAGGCAAATTAGAGAAAGGAAAGAGTAGAAAAGATCAGCGCAAAAGCTCCTGCAAACATACAAAAAGATGGATTGTTCTGTGGCCATAGAAAACATGTATGATGACTTTGTGTTATCATCTTGGGTGGTTGAACTTTGTTCTCTGGAATTTCCTTGCTGGTATGTTATTTGGTAGGCGAACTGAAAGAGATAAAGTTGGAAGAAGGAAGGGAAAAATATTTTGTATCATTCACATATCTTTTTTTCCTTATCCAATTATACACTAATATATGTTATTGTAGTGAAGAGATATTGTCAATGTAAGAAAAATCCATAACAAATGGTCATTAAGAGAGATTATCCTGGATGGACATTACTTACTTGGTTGGAAGGCCTTAGGAAAGGACTTATGACTTCCCTAGGGAGAGAGAAAGAGACTCATCTGTGACAATAGCTTGGCCCATACTCAGGAAATTCCAGCCCACCCATGATTCTTCCTTTCTGAGTTCCAACTTACTATATATGACATTAGACTTGCATATATGTCTATACATATTCTGCTTCTGTGCTTGACCCTGACTAATACAACCTATTGAATAAATCAATGTCAACTGCTAAATGAACACATTTCCATCCAGCCGAACTGAGTGAACCTCTTGCTTCTGAAAAAGTCAGCCAGTCAACAGTGAACACAGCAGCTTTAAGAAGTGTGCCTCTGAATAGCTACCAGGCAACGACAGTCTCGTTTTAGTAACTGCACTTCTACAAATGATGTCATCTACTTAAACTTCTAGAAGAAAAATCTACCAATCCCTGAACTCCAATTTTCCCAGAATCCCTGTATAAGATCAGTAGTCTGCTCTGCTCACAGAGACTCTGACTGACCAGCACAGCTCTCTCTTATTATAATGAACAATAAAATCAGCTTTGTCTTCTTATTTCAGATATAGAGTAGCCTCATCATCCTTAAAATACTGCTATGCACATTATATAAAAATATTCTTCAGATTCCAGGCAGTTCTAGCCATCTGCATTAGCTAGTCCAAGCTAGCTCTATGTTGCCTGGATTATATCCTGTCGGAAGTTTATTATTTACCCACAATTATTCTGTGTTTTATTTCAACCTTATAAAATTTTTACCTGTATTTATTTAAGACTTTTAAAAAATGTACTTTTTAAAAAATCAAGTATCCATTTAATTAGGTTGAATTCTTGTAAAATATTTAGTCAATATTATTTCCTTCTATAGCCACTATCATAAATATATTCTTGAAAGGATGACTTAGAAAATTGTGGAACCAAGCAATGAAGAAAATAATTCATTTAAAGGGGTTAGCAAAATTCCTAAAACAAAATAATTACCCCCAAAGTTGTTGTTATTACTATTATGCTTAATTAGGGCATTTTAATGAAGAAAACTGACTGTATTTTGACAGACAAAATATATTGAGATATTTCCTCTTTGACAAGAAGAAAGTGAGAAAGAAAAGAATTAAGCCTTTAAAAAAATAAATGGCTATACTTTTTAAGAGGTTCATTAAAATGCTTTTAAAGTCCAAATGAAATGTTGAAAACTGAGAATAAGGGAAAAGTGTCAATTTACTTCAAAGAGGGGTGAATATAATGTGGGAAACACTTGAGAAATCACTTCAAAATTCTAGTACACCATTTTATAATCACTTTTCAAACTATAATCACACTTATGCAGACTAAAATTTGAAGAAAGTAAAGTACCTCAATTAAGATTCATTAATAGTCTATTCAAGTTCAATAGTCAACAATCACTTTTATTTTGATGTATTTAGTCCTTGATTCACTTCTAATGTTTCTGAATATGCTAAAATAGGCCAGTAAATAACACAGAAAAAAAGCTAATTTCAATATCTGCTGGAAGTAGAAAATAAAAAAACTTCAATTAAATGATTATTAAATGATTTAATTTCCTGCAATCATTCTAGTCTCCAGTTCACATAATATAGAGTATGAATAATAAAGCTGCCTTACTATTTGACATTTTTAAGCCACTGACACTATTTTTTCCTGTTCAAAATATTCCTTTTACATTGAGAGAATACTGTTTCCAAATAAATAGCATGTTCTTTATACTTCTATTGCTGTAAAATTTAGGATAAGGAAATAAGGAACTTTATCTCAAAAAATATTAATGGGTCTCTCCTAGATCTTATTTCGGATAAATCTGCATTACTTGCAAGGAGTTTTCGGATTTCTCTTAGGATACTTTTTAAAAACATGATTATCTTTTTTCTCAGTGACAGATTCATCTGTCAAGCAGTATCCCCAGTGAGGGCATGTACACTGAGTACTTTAAAAATAGGCCAGCAGTAAAAGCACATGCGATACCTTTTTTTGCAAACTGGGTTGCATTTAACTAGCTTCTTTTCCTCCCTTGATATTATGAATTATAAAGAGCTTTATAAAAGCAAATAATTGGCCTTGCTCTTTTTGAGATTTCTTTGTCACCCAGGATGGAGTGGAGTGGTATGATCTTGGCTCACAGCAACCTCCACCTCCCATGTTCAAGTGATTCTTCTGCCTCAGCGTCCCGAGTAGCTGGGACT